ACCTTTTACCTTATATATGGATGTATCAAAAAGAATTAGAAGCTGTTTTTGCTCAAAAGAAACTAGAAAAAGATTTTGTAATTACTTATACTAGTTATTCTACTAACAAGACTGAAGAAAATTATCCAATCACTAATCTAAAATGTTTAGCAATTATATGGACTATTAAACACTTCTATCATTACTTTAGTCAACCATTTATAGTGATAACTGATTATGCAATATTAAAATAGTTAAAAACATCCAAAATGCCAAAAGGAAGGCATAGATAATGGAATTACAACAACACCATTTTACCATTGAATACAGAGCAGGAAAGCATAATGCTAATGCAGATACCTTATCTCAAATGTATGATGAAGAATAACCTGATAAATGTTTTATGATTAGAATAATCAATCCTAATTCTGAGAAAGAATTCCAATGGAATAATAATACTTCAAGTAAGAAAGAAAGTGAATAGCATATTTTGTCAGAAACTGAATCTAAAATTGATGAAGAACGTTAGTTTGAAGAAGAATTAATATAATAATTTTCCAATACTCCATTAATTACAGTAATTGGTTATAAAAGCCCTAAAGATGAAATGGAGGAAATTTATCAAAGCAATATAAAAATTAAACAAGTTATTGCAAACCAACTGATTACAAAAGAAGGATCACAATGTATTTTCGCATGTGATATAAAAAATCATCATATTCATACTTATTGTAAATATGTAAATGAAATTTATTATATAGAACCATCACTCATAATTATAAAGTTGGATATAAGCTTGGAAAGATTCAATCTAATAGGGATTCAACTTATTTACTTAATGATCTTTGGTGAAATGAACCTATTTTAGTAAACAAGAAAATGTATTTGCATAACTTTATAAATCTCTTGAAAATATTGATTCCTTAATGACTCCCTCTTCTTATTAAATATTTTCTTTATTTTATCAAAATATTTAGTATATTACAATTTTTATTCTTAGAATGAAACTAAAGTGTTTACATTATTTACATTATGATAGGTAGCTCAAAAATCATTTAATTATAATGGAAACTACCTAACATAATAACCTTTTTATATATTTAACTTTAAATACTTTTCCCCTATATTTAATTCCCAATAAATTATTAAATTGAAGCATTAATCAAAATTCTTTAAAATCAATATATAAGGAACAAAAAAATAATTTTGAAAAATTATTAAGAGTAATTAAAGTATCAGAGTTAGAGGCAATACTTTATATGATGTATAATGATCCAACTGCTAGATATTTTTCAAATAATATAATGTTTAATAAAATTCGTACTTAATATTATTGGCCTCAAATGTATAAAATATTAGAGCATACGTTCAATTATGTAATACTTGTCAAATGAGAAGAAGACCTAAAGATAAAAATAAACTATGTCCTATTCAAGTAGATTCACCTTTTTATAGAATTGGAATAGACTTTATTGGACTTTTATCACGAACTAGTAAAGAAAATAAATATATTATAGTCACAATTGATTATCTCATTAAATGGTGAAAAGCTAAAGCAGTAAGAGATGCAACTGCTAAAAATGTTAGTCAAATTTTTATATAAAGATATTATTTGTTGATATGGATGCTATACAAAGATTTTATCTGATAGAGAATCTCATTTTAACAATTAGTTAGTTGCACAATAAATGGATCAATTTCATATTTGCTATAACTTACCAACTCCTTACCATTCTAGGATAAATGGATTAATAGAAAGATTCAATAGAACTTTATGTGAATGATTCGATTCGATCAAATTCAAATCAAATATTCAAATATTTGATTTGATTTGAATCAATAGTAAAGTCATCTCCAAAGCTTCAGTTGTGGTTTTTACTAAGAAAATCATAGTAAAAAGTGTCTCAATAGTTTCAAAATACCTTTTTACTAATAAAACTATAGCAAAAAGCATTCTGTGACTTCAGAAATACCTTTTTTACTAAGAAATCCATAGTAAAAAGTATCTCCATAGCTTTAAAAATATCTTTTTTACTAAGAAAAACAGTAAAAAATGCTTTTATGACTTCAAAGACATTATTTTACTAAGAAAACATAATAAAAAATACCTCTACAGCTTTAGAAATATTTTTTATTAAGAAACCTAGTAAAAAATAAGTCTGCAACTACAGAAACATTTTTTTATTAATAAAATTATTACGAAATCGAAATGGTGGTTATTATTAAGTTTTCTTAGTAAAACTGAAGCTGTGATGGTAATTATTACTAAACTTTCTTAGTAAAACCGAAGCTGTAATAGTTATTATTACTAGGTTTTCCTAGTAAAACCGAAATTGTGAAGTTATTTTACTAAGTTTAATAGTAAAAATTACCCTGTTAATAAACTTACTTTGTAAAAGCTATTTTTGAAATTTTTTAGTGCAATTACTAATAATTTTCTTAATTAAAACTTTAGAATAACTTTATTTTAATATATCATTGTAAAAATTAAAATCAATTTTATATTCAATTCGATTTGATTCAATCGATTTGATTTGATTTGATTTGATTTGACTAATATTTGATTCAGTTTGATTTAATTCGATCAAATTTAAATTGATTCAAATTGATTCGATCAAATATTTGAGTTCAATTCGATTCAATTTTAATTTGATTTGAAAAAATCAAATTAAATTCAAATTGCTTAAATATTTGATTTGATTTGATTTTGAGGAATCCTAGCATTTTAATTTAAATATAATAAAAATTAAAATGCAATTAAAATCTTAGTTTTGATAAAAAATTCTCAAAACTTGATTTTCTTAAATCATAACCCAAATATTTCATAATTATTTTTTTATAATACTTTGTAATTATATATTTATTTAATATAAACACTTCTAATAAATGAATCACTTATTCTAATTTTTGTAAAGTTATTAAATTATAATAAATAAAGTATAATCTGAGATTAATTTTAGGATTCCAGTTTTATATTAAATAGTAATTTATGAAATATCATTATTTTCAATAATAATTTAACTATTTTAATAAACTGTAATTGAAAAAGACTTTTAATTTATATATTAAAAAAATCTGATTGCTTTTTTTGTATTTATAAAATAAAGTTACTAAATAATTATAATTTATTTTATTTGAAATTGATTAAAGTTTATTAAGATAACTAATAAATATTAATATACTGTATTAATTAAAAGGATGAAATAATATGTCTTCTAGTAGTCTTTATGCTATTTCTGATTGTTTTAACCTAATTCTGAAAATTTTGTTTAAGTATTACTTTGATCTTTTCTTTTACAAATATAGCTAGATTAACTAGATTATAAAGAACTATGAATATTATGAATTACATGAATAATAAAGGGTTGATTGTTAAGTTGTAACATAATTTTAAGTTCTAATTATAATGATATAGGATAAACAGAATTTTCTTCATTTGAAAAATTCACTAATTATATAAATATGAATTATAATAAAATTTTGATATAATAGTACCAGTCATAACAAGATTTTTTAAAGTTATATAAATATTTATTTTTATCATTTCTTGGAAAAATAAAGATTTCAAATGATATTTTTTTTATTAATTAATATAGCATTACAATTTACTATAATAAGTTCATCGATTATATGTAAATCAGCAATTAGCATTATATATAATAAAAATGTAATTTTAAATAATTTATATAAAAATAATTAAATTTATAAAAAAATACTTATATTCTATTAATTAAGAATGCTATTTTAAACTAATAAAATCAATGTTAACAAAATTAGTTTTAATGGTTTTTGTTATTAATTAAACTAGTTTTAATACCTAAATTAAATAAGTTTTGATAAGTTTAAATTATAGAAATTTGATTTAGAATAGTAATACTACTATTCTTTAGATTATTTATATAAATAATTTTTATATTATACTTTTTAACTTTTATATAAAATTTTTGTTAATCAAAATATTTATTTATAATATAATATATATCTTCTATTACTAAGCAATAAAGAAAAAATTAAATATTAATATATTATTTTTATTAAATATTACTTAATATCATTTATTATTAATTTAAAATTAAAATTTATTACTATTTTATATATTTTATAAAATCAGTAAATAAAATATATAATATTATAAAATTATTAATATTGGTATTATTATTTGAAACTAGTTTTTAGTAGTTTTAGAATAGTATTCTTAATTAATATTATTAAATATTGCATATTTAAATAAAATATTAAATTACAATTTTATTATTTATTTAATTTTTTTTTTAATTTTTAAATTTGATATTTTATTTAAAAAAATTATTAATATTCTTTTAAATTTGAATAATATAATACAATAAAATTAAAAATGATTTGTAATAAGATAAGTGATCTGTATTAATAATAATAAAAAACAATGCTTATAAACTAAAAATAATTAGTTTAAATAATGAATTTAAAATTAATCAATTATAATTTTTATTATATTAAGCAAGAAAATTTGTAATGGTATTCAATATATTTGCAAACTCATATTAGTTATTGTTATTTATAATTACTTTTAAGTTATTAAATTTCTGCTATTTATTCTTAATATATAAAATATAATTATTATCATCATATATTATTGAAATAAATAAAAAAAAAATTTAATAAATTGAAGCTCAAAAAAAAATTTAAATTTAAAAATTTTGCTACAATTTATATATTTAAAATAACATTTTTTTTAACACTTACATCTTTTTTATTATAAAACACGTGGATAAATTTTTTCTTAATGATACGTACCCGTCATTCTTAAAAGAAATTTTCGGTTTATAAAAACTTAAAAACTTTCAAACTAATAATCTTACTGATCAAAGACGTGTTAAGTACATGATTGAATATGAATTGAACAAAAAATGTGTCAACTTTGAATCCATTAATAGGAGTAGACTTCAATAATTTTCTTCGGTTATATATATACAGTATAACAAAAACTTTATTATTATTATTATTATTATTAGTAATATTATTAAAAAAAAAAGATATTAAGCTTAAAGGTGATGTTTAGAACAATAAATAAGTTTACAATCTCGACCAACACCCATATAATTATAATTAGTACAAATCGTGCTAATACCATAAAATACGGTGCAAGATCTTTCATAATTAAATTTAATAGGACCGACATTCTTCTTCTTGTGGGTTTCAAAGAAATCTAGCAAAGCTTTCTCAGAAATTTTCCAGGCATGTATTATGGCTAACCATCTTAATTTATGAGATTTGTTACGAGTTATAACGTTAAATAAAGGATCAAAATTAATCGAAGGAGTAGGAGCAAAACATCTTGGAATGGATGGATGCAGGAAAAGTGTCTCTAATTTATTACATTTATCCAACATTGCTTCTAGGTCACAAATGTTATCCTCTAATATAGGTCCATCATAAAAAATTATATTTGGTGAATAATTTGCCAATGAGACGAGAAGTTTTTGAGCGTTCTCCGGATCTTCTATCTGACACCCATGTAATGTTAAAGATCTTAAATTTTCTCCTGAACTACTTATTAATCCGGCAAAATATTCCAAATAAATTGGATATTTACTTTCAAAAGAAAATATTTCTAAAAGTTTAAATGAAGCATTTGAAAAATGAATTAAATCATCTTTACTATATCCTTGATAACCACAAGATTTTAATTCTAATTCTATTAAATTTTCGAATTTATAAAGAGCTAATAAAGGAAAGTTAACATTTTCCAATTTCAAATGAGTTATTAAAATTTCTCGCTGTGGCATTACGGGAACCGTTTCACCATTGGCCCAAGGTTCGACATTTGATAAGATAGCGCCTTTATAACGAATCGATAATCTTTTTAAATTTCTTTGAGCAAATATTAATGTTAATAATTCAGAGATTTGTGAATCAATCGCTATATCAAGATGCTCGATATTTAATGAATACTTTGCTAATTGTGAAAATAAGGTAGCTTTGGCCGGATGTGTACAATAATATTGCTTAAGACTTTTCAATTTTGATAGACAACTTCTTGCCTCCGGTATATCTTGTAAGGCTGAAATGATAGGTTCTGTTGTATCAGAACTTGTAAATTTCAAAGAAATTAAATACGGAGTTTGTCGTAGGAAATGATTTAATAAAACAATAGACATTTTTTGAATCTGATCAGACGTATAACGTCTTATTGAATCCCTTGTTGTAAAGTAGAGCCAAGATCTAACGAACAATTTTAAACGATACATATCTAAATGTCGTAAAAATTTTGAATATTCAAACAACAACTTTTGTTGAGTCGGTAATCTAACTCCACATCCGTTCAACGAAACGATTGATCTGTCTGAAAGTTCCGTTATATAAGTGGAGATAATCTGATTTTCTTCAGGAGAATGTACGTTATTATAAGGTTTAATTTGTTTAAACGTATCACTCCATAAAATTGGAATGGTAATTTTACACCATTCCCTATTTACTAAAATGCATGAATGTAAACTTGCAATATCATCTGCGAGGAATTCAACAACTTTCAAAACGATTTCCGTTAAAAATTTGATTGGTTCCATGGTTCACGTAACGTAAAAAGATTTTTTTTTTTTTTTTTTTTTTTTTGTTTGGTCAAGAACCCTTTTATAGATAATTTTTTTTTTTTTTTTTTTTTTATGGGCTGAATGAGTTTTCCATAAAGGGAGAATGAATTGTCCATCCCAATTTGTCGATCTAATTTTGTGCCTCATCTAACTACATAAATTATTGATCGACAATGCATGGCGCAGGGTAACTTCCAAAGTGGATATATTAGACCAAGAGATTTTCCAAGGGATTACGGAACGTGGTTGCTTTGGCAAGCTTTTGGTCTGTTTCATAGTGGCAAATTAAACTTTGAAATCTGGTAATAGATCTTCATGCAGCGATGCATATGGTTCCTATTAGAATAAATTTGTCAAACAATACAATCTATTTTATTGAATTATTGAATTAAAAAAAGAAAAAAAAGTCATTTATTGATTATTATGGTGCAGAAATTCCAAAAATGATGACGAAGGCATCTTTGTGAGCTATTAAGTTATTGAACATTGCATATATGACCATTGTGCCCTTAATTTAAATTAATCGACATTTCTAACTCAAACGTAACACTATCATTAGTTAAATTAATGAGATTATTAAGTAATCGCATTGCTTGTGTCACGTGAATCGAAAATCGCAACATAAGATAATATAAATATTAACACAATATAATCTGATGTAATCATTCGTCTTGTTAAAAAGAACTTGAGCTACTGAAAAGTACGCTGAAAGGAGAACGTGATCAAGTATCTCATGGGGAAGATAATATATTTCGCGTGATAGTGGATACCAAGTTTATAATGGAATGTCGGGGTAGTTGGATGGGCTGATGGAAACAAATATCAACCCGGAAACAATAATAGACTTTCGTCGGCATTATAAATATTTAATGGTATATTTATCGATCATTGAATTAGATTCAAAATTTTAAAGGGGTTTCAATAAGATTTTTTATTGGACCAAATAAGGTTTAAGGTTTTTCCAGATAATTTTGAACACAATTGTATTATTATTTATTCCTTGGTAATTCAAAGTCCCTAATTTATACTTCTTCCTAAACGTGATATCGTGATATTATTATGGTAGAATGTCTGATAAGTAGAATATTTGAAATGGGACTACATTATATTGTTAAATTCATCGATTTGAAACTGGAATAATAATAAGGACGAGTATTATTAGCAAGTAAAAAAGATTTCTGTATTTTGTTATTAACTTAATTATGAAATATTTAACGTTCATGCAAAGTGACCAGTAAACATAACGGTAAATGCCAAAAAAAAATTTGATTTAATAAACCAAATGCTTCGCACGTCATTTGAAATACAACTCTTCACTAACCCTAATCCAAGTATCTTTATAAACCTTACTAAATCAGCCCTCAACAATAAATTCTTACATACCTTAAATTGATTATAGGGAATAAAGTCCATACTTTTAACTTCTATATCACTTTTTATTTGACTGGAATATTACAGCATCTGAAATATGTAAATAATTACAGTTAACTCTCTTTATAACGAACCTCTTTATAACAAACTCTGGATATACGAACTTTTTTTTTCAACAGAACCACCTATATAGCAACGAATTTTGTTATATAAATAGCTTAACATAATTATAAAATTTTGTTTAGTAAATTATTTATTAAAAATAGAGTTATTCAAAAAGCAGATTTGGATATATTTTTATATGGGAACGTTTCCAGTAAAATCAAGTTATGAGGCATAGTAAATCATATGATCCGTAATGTGATTTTACTGGAAACGCTCCCATATAAAGAAATTATAATCAATCAATAAACTTTATTAGTAATGATTCTTGCTACATATTGCTGCGGTTTGCATTTATCAAAAGAAATTGTTTTTTTTTCTTTATCCTCTTATAGTAAAACCCAGCCCTAATCGAAAAAAGAATGATCAACAACAACAACAAAAAGAAAATAGCCATTGTGTGTTCAACTTTAAGTAACTCCCATAGAGGTCTTTTACAAATCACAAATACGAATTACTATGATATATAAAATAACCTTTTTCAATTTAAATCATATCCCAGCCTTTAACTAATGATTTCGAAATTATTGAAGTCCACGCAGAAGGTCAGTTAATTATGTCAAAAGATAGATGGTTAGCTGCCGTATTTACGTGCAGCGTTGCTTGCCTCTGACAGCGCTCTGCAATATCTAACAAAGTTATTTCATAAATCATTACAGATTATTTAGTTGCAGAAACTTATGAATCTTTGTAGAAATTCGTTTTACTATACATTCATTAATTTCGTATTATTGCCAGATGATGCATTTAATGACTTTATAAACATTTGGAGTCGAAATTCAAAACGTAATGAAATACTGAATCTACATTTCAGCAATGATTTAATATTATTCTGAAATTAACAAAGGCAAATATGCAAATTTTGGAGTCGGTCCAGTCGACCAAGTCGCGACTCTCATTTGAAATTAGCAACTATAATTGTTTATTAATATCTTAATATTTAACACAATCTTTACAATTTAATTAATGTTGATAAAGATGTTTTCATCAGAAAATTTTATTAAATTGAGAGTTTCGCTATGTTCTGATATTTTATCAATCGGAACAGCGAATCAGTCTTGGCTCAATCATTTGAAAATACTGGAGTCGACTCTAGATATTATAAAAATTGTGAAAAAATTTTAAATGTATTCTATGTAACTCTAGATATATTTTTATAATTATTTAGTCAATTCACAATTATTAAAATTATATTTTATTAAAGAGAACATGTGAAATTAGGTCAGCTTCACCTAAAGTTATTCATCATAATTTATCATTAAATTAATACCAGCACATTCATTTATAGAAAAATATCGGCTATTTTCCTTTTGAAAAAGAACTAGCCCCATCTGACAGATTTCCCAACATATTTGGAGGAGTAAGACCAATTTGTTCTTGAACAGTAGATAACAGAGGGGGTAAAGATTGGAAAATATTTGATAAAGGATTCATAGAAGAATTTCCACCCTGTTCCCCGGTATTCCAAACGGTAATTTTAGGATTCAATCCTTGAACGGCATTAGCATTCTCTTTTGCCAACTCTTGGTATACACCACGTTCAATCATAATATATTGAAGAGCTGCAGAGCTATCCCCACCAAAAGCCTGCATCAAATTTTTGATACCTTCAGCCTGAGCATTATAAACAGCCAAAATCCCTTCTGCATCTTTCTGTTGTTGGTAAAGTTCGGCTTCGGCCTCCTTTTGTTTTTCATAAAATTTAGCATTAGCATTCGCCTTAGCTGCTTCAAATTCTGCTGTAGCCTTGGCAACATATTGTACACGTAAACGTTCTGTTTCAGATAATAGCCTACGTTCTTCTACTTGTTTTTGTAGCTCAGAATCTCTGATTTTTGCAGCTTGCGATGCTTCAATCTCTGCTATTTTCGTCGATTTTTCAAATTCGGATTTTTTGGTGGCTAAAGTCATTTCTGCTTCTGCAACTGATACCTTATTTTCATTCTCAACTATAATTGTATCTGCTTCGATTTTTGAATTTTCTCTCCTCTAAATAAAGATAATAATGAAGGTGGTATAATTATAATTCTGATGATATGAAAATAAATCTTACGGTCAATCCTTCTCGTTCCTTTGTACCAACGTCACCCTTATATTTTGCTTCAGATACATCAACCTTTGCTTGATTTACTGCACCTTCTTGAGTTTTCATACGCTACGTGAATAAAAAAAAGAGATAAATAATTTTTATTCATCATGAAAACGTTTCTACATGAAAAAAGAAATTTTTTTTTGTTAGGCTTACCAAATAAGCAAAGTATTCAGAACCTTGAGTATCTTGAAGTTGCTTAACATTAGCATTATAAATGTATAAACCAAATTGATCTAATTCAGCTTGAACAGTTTTAATTACTTCCTCCTTGAAACCTTTCCTTTCTCTAAACATTTCTTCCATGGTCATGGCGGCTGCTATAACTCTAGTTTCACCTTCAATGATACCTCTAACTAAATCTTTAACATCTTCACTATTTTTGTCATTTGATAATAATTTCGCATATTTTATTAACGCTTTTGGTTCATCTCTTGGACCGATTGTGAACACGGCTGGTAAATTGAATTCCAATTTTTCTGCACTCATTGCTTGTAATTGCAATGTATAATTCGCTGGCGTGAGATCCAAGAAAGTTGATCGTTGTCTACAATTACGTTCATGTTTATAACAATAATAATTATTATTAATTATTAAGCGAGGGGAAATGATGAAAACAAATATAACATGGATAAAAATATCGAGGAAAATAAAAGACTAACCCTGGCCAAACAAAGCTTTTCTTGGTTAAGGCAACGTCATTGATGTATGCGCCGGTTTTCACCAAGTATTGATTTGCATTACTTTATTTATATTATATATATTTTTTAAAAAAAGAAAAGGGAAATAACTATACATGTGTACATATAAAACTTTTAAATATAAAATCATAATAATATAAAAAAAACATTAATACCTAATTCGATACATATTTGCTTGTCAAATCTTTAATGTGATTTTTTTAATGGGGAAAAAATGTATTTTTTTCTTTTTGTAAAAGTTAATATAATCGATTACGCCTGAGCCTAAACCTTTTTAAGCTAAAATATATCAAGTGATTTAGTTCTATGATATACATGGAATTTACTTCTGAGTAAATTGAGCCGAAACACTGTTACACTAATTTTAATAAATAAAAATTAAATGTTTTATATTTTTAATAGTCATATAAAGTTCGAAATCTTTATTTTTAGTTGGAGCCCGATTTTTAAATTACTCTTTAAATTGTAGTATATTTTAATAATTGCTATTAGTTGATTTCATCTCCTATGCAGAGGAAAAGAAAAAGAATTTGGTTGTAATGATAAAGAAATTAAAATAAAACAAAAGAAATCACAATGGCAATAAAGTAATAAAGAGTTGCTATCATAACAGAATAAAATGATTTTCATTTTTGCACAGTTGACAACGTTAACAAGATTTATAAATAACGTATATTATCAGCGGAAATAATCCTAAAATTAAATCTCAAAAGGTAAATCTCGATAAAATATAATGGAATTGAAATTTAGAAAATTTTCACTGATATAAATGTTTATAAAGATGTGGTGCTTTTATTCTATTGATTTTAATCTATTTTTTTTCTTTGAATATTGATTTATCAACAGCTTCTCCCGAATCAATTTTAATTAATTGCTGACCAAGGCGTAAGAGAAGGGGAAGGAAGAGTAGGATAGAAATCAAGCTGTTGAAGGGGTAGAAGAAAGCGGAAGGCGAACGAAAGGAAGTTGGTGAAGAAGAACGTTTCAACGCGACATCTTCGAGCACGAATTTGTCGAATTATTGTGCTGCGAAATTTAGATTTACTGTATTACTAGGTCTCGTGAAATGTATCACATTAATAAACCTGTTTAATTAGTAAAAAATTATGATTGATTAAAGTTTTATCTTACTTGGAATAGAGGTTGGAACAGCATAGTGGAATTTCCTAAAAAGTTAAGTTATATGACGATCATTTTTTATACTATGCCTATTGTAAATCTATTGAAAAATCATATGGCTTTTTTTCAAGCTTAATCATAAAATTTTGCATATACTTCTCTTCATTATATAACTTTTGTGATCCAGTTTATTTTATAAGCACTTTATAATAATTTATTATGTATAAATATACATATAATAAAGTATTATAAGAGCTTAAAGTAAAGTTGTTCAAAGGTATTGTAAACATTATATATTAATTTTTATGAGCTGGTTTAAATGGTTATAGATCCTTTTTTGTCTTTTATAATAATAATCAACACATTTTATTTTTTTATATCTTCAAGGTGTAATTAAAATACTTTAATTAAAGAAAACAAGTGAAATAAGCTTACTTAAAGTAAAATAACAAACAGAGAATTTCATATATATTAATTTTACAAGGCTGGCTTGAATGAATGGTTATAAAGCTTTGAATTTCATGATAATACTAAAACATTTTGATATTTTTATTTTTAAAACGTAATTTGACTATTTTAATTAAAAAAACAAGTAAAATGAGCTTAACGATCACAGAACATATTTCCTAATTTTTAAGGTTATTACTAAAGTGTATATATTAAAATAATTCTTTATATAAAACTTAAAATTGGTATATTAAATCTATTTTTTTTATAAAATTATATATAATATTAAATTTTTGAAAGAATTTAATAATATATAAATAAAATTTAGATTTAATTTTTATATTTAATTTTAATAAATTTAATGAATTATTATAGACTTTAAAATTAGGTATTAATAATTTTAAATTTATTTATATATAATAATAAATAAATTTTAAACTAATAGGGTCATGTATTACATATGCACAATAAAATCCAAGTAATCCAATATTACACAATAATTATGTCTCTTGTATTGCTTTCAATTAAGGGATTGATATAATGCATATTAGCAATTTTTATATTAAAAAATACCAATTGTAAACATTTACTTATATGCAAACATTTAAATTCTAATAGGTTTAAATTTTTGAAATATTAGAGAAAAATAATCAAGCCTTATATTTTTATATATTAATTTATTAATGTTATCACAACAATAGTTTTAAACAATCTTCAGTTTGAATTTAAAAAATATCTTGATAGTATAGTAAATTTATGTTAATCTTTAAGTTTCTTTATGTAAAAGTCAAACTCAGTATTCTAAATCTATACTTACATATAAGTAAAGTTGTAAAGCTAATTAAATTATACATAATTTCCAAATTTTAAGAAAATCAAAACTAATAGTTTGATAAAATAATATTTCAATATGTTAAAATTCATGAAAAAAGCATCAGTCTATTAAATCCATAGAATCATTCTTACAAGAAAGATAAAAAAGGAATTGCTCTGGCTGTAATAATAAAAAAGAAATCATTCTTATTAAAATGATTAAAAAGTAATCTTTCTTACTAGATTGATTAAAATAATCATTTTTGCTAGAATGATTAAAGTAATTATGCTTGCTAGAATGATAAAAATAAAAACATTATTACTAGAATAATAAAAAAGTAATCATTTTTGTTAGAATAATAAAAAAATAATTATTCTTATTAGAATAAAAAAAAGAAATCATTCTTGTAAATATAAAAATAGAATCATTCTTGCAAAAATGATAAAATTAAATTATTCTTAAAAGAATAATAAAAACTAAATTATTCTTCCTAGAATAATAAAACAGAATCATTTTTGTTAGAACTATTAAAATTAATCTTTTTACAAGAACGATAAAATTGAATCATTTTTGAAAGAACGATAAAAACTGAATCATTCAAAAAAAATAAATTTTATACATCATGTGATTACAGAAAATAAAATAATATCAATATTTAAAGATTATTATATGTGTGCGTATATATATATGTACAGGGGTAATTTTAGTTACCTGAATAATTAATATTTCGTTCGATTAGCAGTAACATTTTTGGGTAAGTAAACTTTTATTTATTTTTATTTATTTATAAATATCTATATTATATTTTTATTTAAAAAAAATAAATAAAAAACTAATATTTTGTTGCCTCATCCTCAGCTGTTATACACACTTGAATTCAACGAAACATACTTTTGACTAAATTTTGAATATATTCAAGTAGAATCAAACGTCAAGCTTTTTTACTTTACGCTTCAAATCTTGTAAGAATGATATTTAATTAGACAAGTTATGTACTTGCCTGTCAATTTTATTTTAAAGGTTTTCGATCGGATTTAGATCAGAACTTTATGCAGGTTAAGGTAATACAAAATACCTGCGATGTTACAAACTTCAGCAGAAATCTTAGTACAATGTGGTGGAGCATTATCTTCTTGAAAAATATCTTGTTTACAAAATACCAATTTATAAAGTGATAGAATAGCATATTTTTGTAATACATTTACATATGTTTGTCTTGTTACAGATTTACAAAAAGGAACAAGTGGCCCTAATCTATACCATAAAAAGTATTTCCAAAATATGCGACTGGAACTATACTTTACTGTAGCAGTTAAACAGAAGGAGTCAAATTCTTCCTCAGGTATTCGCCACATACGTAAATTATGACCTTGTATAAATTGGCTAAATGTGAATTCATCAGACTATACAATCTTTTTCCACTTTGCAATTGTTCAATCTTTTCATTCTAATGTTTAAGTCAAACTTTTTTGTCTGTTAATTTCTGAAATTAATGGTTTACGGCAGGCAAAACATAAGCGTAAGCCAATGTTTTAAAGAGTTTGATGAATAGTAATTGTTAAAACTTTTTTTTTTAATGAGTAACTCTTAAATTTTACGAGTGGTAAAGCGGTGATACTTTGAATCTTATATAATAAACTTTTTGAGCAATGAAAATTCCTTCAAATTAAAAATTGTTTTCAAGTCACAATGATTTTTTGGTATTACAGATCCATTTCTTTAAAATGTTTTATTGCATCTATAACTGTTGTTTTACCGTATCCAACAATTTTAGCAATTTTTTTATATGAATTATCCATTTATAATTATAAAGAATTACTTCATATTGTTTTTTGGTTAATTCTTTTGTTTTAACCATTTTTAGTTTGAAGTAAATAAAGGGCTGTGAATTGTTATGATCTATATTATACATGAAGTCGAAATGAAAACCCAAAAGTCGAAATGTTTCGACTTTGGAGGTCAAAGTTAAAATGAAAAGTCGAAATAGTTGAAATTACGTCATATCACATGATTTTTTATATATAGAAAAAACAAAAAAAACAAAAGATGTACGATCTCAATCAATATCGCATCGATTTGTATGAAACAACTACCATTCGATTCCTTGCGACTTGACGGATCCAATAAGCTAACATTCATTGATTTTGGATCAGCTTTTTTATTTTTAAAGACGCAGTAATGCATTTATTTATTATAAAAATTCATAATCAGTTAATTAAAACATGAAAATCCCGAAAA